AACCTATGGTCACCTTATCTTCGACAAAGGAGGCAAGGATATACAATGGAGAAAAGACAATCTCTTTAACAAGTGGCGCTGGGAAAACTGGTCAACAACCTGTAAAAGAATGAAACTAGAACATTTTCTAACACCATACACAAAAATAAACTCAAAATGGATTAAAGATCTAAATGTAAGAACAGAAACTATAAAACCCCTAGAGGAAAACATACGCAAAACACTCTCTGACATAAATCACAGCAGATTCTCTATGACCCGCCTTCCAGAGTAGTGGAAATAAAAACAAAAATAAACAAATGGGACCTAATTACACTTAAGAGCTTTTGCGCACTGAAGGAAACTGTATTAAAATGAAAAGACAGCCTTCAGAGTAGGAGCAAATAGTAGCCAATGAAGCAATTGACAAAGAACTAATCTCAAAAATATAGAGACAACTCATGCAGCTCAGTACCAGAAAAATAAATGACCCAATTCAAAAATGGGCCAAAAACTAAACAGACATTTGTCCAAAGAAATGATTCAGATGGCTAACAAGCACATGAAAAAATGCTCAACATCGTTCATTATCAGAGAGTTGCAAATCAAAACCACAATGAGGTACCATCTCATGCTGGTCAAAATGACTGCTATCGAAAGCTTACAAAAAATAAATGCTGAAGAGGGTGAGGAGAAAGGTGAACCCTCTTACACTGTTGGTGGAAATGCAAACTAGTACAGCCACTATGGAGAACAGTGTGAGGATTCCTTAAAAAACTGAAAATAAACCTGCCATATGACCCAGCAATCCCACTGCTAGGCATACACACTGAGGAAACCAGAATTGAAAGAGACACATGTACCGCAATGTTCATCGTAGCACTGTTTACAATAGCTAGGACATGGAAGCAACCTAGATGCCCACTGGCAGAAAAAATGGATAAGAAAGCTGTGGTAAATGTACAGAAAGGAATATTAGCCAGGTAGTAAAAAGAACACATTTGAATTGGTTAATGAGGTGGATGAAACTGGAGCCTGTTATACAGTGATATGTCAGAAAGAAAAACACCAATACAGTATATTAACACATATATATGGAATTTAGAAAGATGGTCATGATGACATTACAGGTGAGACAGCAAAAGAGACACAGACATAAAACAGACTTTTGGACTCTGTGGGGGAAGGTGAGGTTGTGATGATTTGAGAGAACAGCATTGAAACATGTATATTACCATATGTGAAATAGATCATCAGTGCAAGTTTGATGCATGAAACAGCGCACTCAAAGCCGGTGCACTGGGACAACCCAGAGGGATGGGATGGGGAGGGAGGTGGGAGCGGGGTTCAGGATGGGGGACACGTGTACACCCATGGCTGAGTCATGTGAATGTATGGCAAAAAAACACAATATTGTAAAGTAGTTAGCCTCCAATTAAAATAAATTAATTAATCTTAAAAAAGTTGTTCTGTTGCCAAGTCATGTACAATACTTTGTGACCCCATGGACTATAACAGGCCAGGCTTCCTTGTCTCTCAACATCTCTCAGAGTTTGCCCACGTTCATGTCCATTGAATTGGTGACGCCAGCCAAACATCTCATCGTCTATCACCCTGTTCTCCTTCAAAGAAAAGGCAGTAGTTACCTACAAGGAGACCCTTACAAGTAGCAGCAGCTTCTGAAGAATCTCTTTTTGGTCACAAGGGACTGGCACAACATACACAGTGGTGAAAGGAAAAAAACTTGCAGCCAAGACTACTGTATCCAGGAAAAACATATTGCAGCCATAGTGTGATGTCCCTTCACATCTGTCATCATGGTTATCATGAAAAGGGCAACATCAAGTGTTGTCAAAGATGTGACGAAAAGGGAATCTTTGTGCACTGTTGGTGGGATTGTAAATTGGCAGAGTTGCTATGGAAAAGAAGATAGAGTTTCCTTTAAAAATTAAAAATAGAACTTCTGTATGATCCAGCAGTTCCACTACTGGATATTTATTCAAAGGAACCAAAACACCAATCTAAAAAGATATATGCACTCCAATGTTCATTGAAGGATTGCACACAATTACCAGGATTTGGAAGCAACCTAAAAAGTCCACTGATAGGTAGATAAAGAAGATATTTTATATATATATATATATATATATATATATATATACACACACACACACACATGCAATATGAACTATAACCAAGCCATAAAATATGAAACATTTCTATTTGCAACAACATGGATGTGTCTAGGATGTATTATCCTAAGTGAAGTAGGTAAGATAGAAATAGACAAATGCCACATGATTTCACTTATTTATGGATCTAAAAATAAAACAAAATCAAAGGAAAACAGGCTCATATGGATACAAAAATTTAATGAGTTGTTGCAAGAAAGGAGGAGGGGTTTGGAAGGTTTTGTATCTACCTTGGGTTGCAAAGTAGATACAAGGGATTTGGAAGTACAAACATGTAATAAAGAGCCAGGGGGATGTATTATACAGCATACAGAATATGGTCAATAATATTGTAATAAATTTGTTAGGGACAGATTGTTACTAGACATGCTGGTAGTCCCTTTATAATGCATGTAAAAGTAAAATCATTTTGTAGTACAGTTGAAGCTAACTTACTGTTATACATCCAACATTTCAATAAGAAATTCATTTAAAAAAGGATGAAGGGGCATATTGAACAAGTGTAGTGGCATAGTGTTTATGGAGACAAATAGCTTGCAAGTTTCAAATATTTGTCAGTTTTAAAATCCTTTAACTTGTTCTGAGTATTCTTTTGTTTAATTCTTACTTTAAAATCCAAAGTAATATTTGATTGCATTAATATTTTTAATTTAAAGATTATATTTATACTTTACTCTTTGACCTCTGTACTTCATATAGAAAAAATTGGATGTTCTCAACCACCTCAAATAGACCATGGAACCATTAACTCATCCAGCTATGCAGAAGAAAGAAGAGAAATACATGAACAAGGGCTGTATGCACATGGCACGAAGTTAAGTTATACTTGTGAAGAAGGCTTCGAGATATCTGCAAATGATGTGATAATATGCCATATGGGAAAGTGGAGCTCTCCCCCTCACTGTGTAGGTGAGGACACTGGGCAAACCAAAATCTATTTTCAGTACCATTCATTCAACTAATCAATTGTCATCAAAGCCATGAGACTCGATCCTTTAGATTTCTAAATATATCAAGTAACTTATCTATTTATAGGTAATTTATGTATTAAAATAAAATGTGTATATTTATATGTTAAACCAAATTGGACATAAAAGTAAACTTTTTTGTTATTAACAATTTTGTTTCTTCTATACGGAATCACTTTTCAATCTGGCAATTTCTTACAATATACACTACTTTTCCTAAGATGATGTGTGGAGTCTCAATGTGTTTTTCTTTTATTTTCATGATTGTTTAGAGAGCACTGATGATTTCTTTTATATATTGGTAATTTCAGTTTTAAGTTCTTGCTCGAGTGGACACACACCAGAATGGTGATTTTAGGAAAAATTTGTGCACTTCCCTCTCATGTCATGGACGTTCCTGTATAATCATTTATTATTTTCAAGTTAAATTACCAAGTATGTTGACCAGTACATCAAATTAAATTTCAAAGTTAGCAAAACATGAAATTATTCTTTCATTTCTTCCCAGGACTCCCTTGTGGACATCCACCTTATATTCTGAATGGTGTTTTATCTCACAAGAAAGACAGTTACCAATATGGAGAAGAAGTGACTTATGACTGTGATGAAGGGTTTGGAACTGATGGACCTGCATCTGTGAGATGTTTAGGAGGGAAATGGTCTCGTCCACATGATTGCATAAGTATAGTGTTTATCCTTTTATTCTAAAGCTGACAAATATCTTTTAATTCAAAGCATAAATGGCACAAATATGAAACTAAGCAGTAATTCTAGAATTTAACAAGGTATCTAGGGAAAGTTCTTAATTCTGGTAGAGAATTAATAATGCTAGAAATAATCAAAGTTTGATTTTTTGTTGCAGTTTAGTCATTCAGTCATTTCTGACTCTTTGCAACCCCATGGACTGTAGCAAGGCAAGTGTCCCTGTCCTTCACTGTCTCCTGGAGTTTGCTTAAACTCATGTCCATTGAATTGGTGATGCCATTCAACCATCTCATCCTTTGCTGTCCCCTTCTCCTCCTACCCTCAATCTTTCCCAGCATTAGGGTCTTTTCCGATGAGTTGGCTCTTTGTATCAGGTGACTTCCCTGGTGGCTAAGATGGTAAAGCATCAGCTTAACATGTGGGAGGCCTGGGTTCGATCCCTGGGTGGGGAAGATTCCTTGGAGAAGGAAATGGTAACCCACTCCAGTACTCATGCCTGGAAAATCCCATGGACAGAGGAGCCTGGTAAGCTACAGTCCATGGGGTCGCAAAGAGTTGGACCCGACTGAGCGACTTCACTCACTTTCACTTTCACTTTCATCAGGTGACCAAAGTATTGGAGCTTCAGCTTCAGCATCAGTGCTTCCAATGACTATTCAGGATCGATTTCTTTTAGGATTGACTGGTTTGATCTTGCAGTGCAAGGGACTCTCAAGAGTCTTCTCCAGCACCACAGTTGGAAAGTATCAATTCTTTGGCCCTCAGGCTTCTTTATTATCCAACTCTCAAATTCGTACATGACTACCGGAAAACTCATAGCTTTGACTAAGTGGACCTTTGTCAGCAAAGTGATGGCTCTGCTTTTTAATACGCTCTCGAGATTTGTCATAACTTTTCTTCCAAGGAGCAAGCGTCTTTTACTTTCATGGCTGCAGTCACAATCTGCAGTGATTTTAGATCCCAAGAAAATTAAGTCTGTCACTGTTTCCATTTTTTCCACATCATTTTGCCATGCAGTGATGGGACCAGATGCCATGATCTTCATTTTTTGAATGTTGAGTTCTAAGCCAGCATTTTCAGTCTCTTCTTTCACCTTCAGCAAGAGCCCCTTTAGTTCCTCTTTACTTTCTGCCATTAAAGTGGTGTCATCTGAGGCGTAGTTGAGGTTATTGGTAATTCTCCTGGCAATCGTGATGCCAGCTTGAGCTTCATCCAGGCAGGCATTTTGCATGATGTACTCTGCATTTAAGTTACGTAAGCAGGATGACAATATACACCCTTAAAGTACTCTTTTTCCAATTTCGAGCCAGTCAATTGTCCATGTACAGATCTAACTGTTACTTCTTCACCTGCATAGAGTTTTCTCGGGAGGAAGGTAAGGTGGTCTGTTACTCCCATCTCTTCAAGAATTTTCCACAGTTTGTTGTGATCCACACAATCAAGGGCTTTAGCATAGGCAATGAAGAAGTAGATGTTTTTCTGGAATTCCCTTGCTTTTTCTGTGATCCAATGGAGGTTGACAATTTGATAACACTAACTCAATTATCTGTTTCACATCATCTTGGGTGCAGTTTGAACATCCTCTGATATACATCACAGATTTCTGGTCTCTGTTCCTGTACCATGGCTGAACTTTGCTCTTATGACTACTCAATTTGCTGTTAATTTGTCAATCATTTCTTTGTAATATGCAATTTTCTAAGATATTTAACATAACTCAAGGTAACATATTTTGATAAAAGCAAAAATAGAAACATTCATATTTTAGGTGGGCTGTCATGAGAGAAGAGAATTTAAATTTGAGAAGTATGCAGCTCTACCTCTTAGAATGTCACCATCCCGTGTTGCATTTTTGATAATATAGAGACAATCAATGTGACTCTGAAATCTCAAGATTTCTGACATTTGTCTCAAGGTATAAGAGAAATGCTGTACAATATTCATTGGTTTGATATGTAGCCATTTATTTTCTGGAATATAATCAGTGGTCGCTATGAATCTTTAAAGATGTACTAAACAAATGCATATTCTGAAGTAATATGATGTAGAAAATTCCCTCCACTATCACTAAATGGACATAGATTACTTTTAGGTCAGGTCAAAAACAGCTTGTGCCTGACCATAAAGAGGGATGGACTTGAGTTTCCACGTTTGGTGTTGTAGCCCAATAGCTCTCAAAGCACAGTCCCGGCAGAGCATTCGCAGCACATTCTGTAAACAGTTGGATGTGCAAGCAGATTCACAGGCTCACTAGGACTTGTTGAATATAAACCTGTGGGGCTTCAACTCTGACAGTGTTTTTATGATTCCCAAGGAATGCTGTGTATATTTTGGTTTAGGCCCCATGGCTACACCCTCTTGTGGTTATAGCCTCTGCATCCCCTGAATCGCACTGAGGAATGAACATCATTGACGGTGGTGTCCTTAGCATTTGCCCCAAAATATCATTATAGTTTTGTAAATTTGCACTTTATTTTCCTATATTTTTTCCGGATCTTCTGTTCAGATCTTTAATTAATCATCTTCTCCCTGCAACTATAGTATTCTTCAAAGTGTGTTAATTCTTGATCAAGTCTCTAAAGAAAAACCTACTGTGTTTATTTTCTGAAAGGCCATAAAGTTATATCTCATAAACAAGATGAATGTAAACCAAATCTTGATGTCAAATGATATTTTTATTATGTTTTCCTTATGGTGTATAAATTCATTTAGAATTTATATACTTTATAATTTTATTTTACTAACCTCACAAAGAGATTTCCAGGAAAACTTTATTTCAGTGGCCTAAAAATTGTGTATCACTTTTCTAGTGAAGTATAGGGGAGAGATTTAAGATGCAGAAGTTTAATTCATGCTGAAAAATATTGCTTTATTTCCATTCCTTTAACCTTACATATAAACGGATGACAATTAGCAGTCTTTCATGACAGATTAACGGTTGAATCAAAATAACCATGGAATATATTTGACATTCTATTTCCTCCTTTCTGTTCTTGATAATCATTATATTAGAGATACTTTTTTACCTTTCTATTTAGATGTTTCCTGTGTGAATCCACCTCAAGTGGAAAATGCTATTATACAAAATCAGAAGTCTAGATATCAAAGTGGTGAGAAAGCACGTTACGAATGCACCGGGAATTATGACCTCTTTGGGGGGACAGATGTCGTATGTTTAAATGGAACTTGGACAAAACCACCTCAGTGCAAAGGTAGAGTATCTTACTCACCCTGTCCACCCAATTAGAGAATATATTAAGAACAAAATATATTGATGCAAAATTAGGATGAAGTGGCTTTTCTGGAATCATTTTTAGGTGCAAAAAAAAATGGTGCTGAAAATCCTGTTCTTTTGTGGTCTGAATATGTACTCTAACATGTTTATTGTATGACAGTGTTGACCAGATTTGAGCAGTTGGAATCATGGGGCATTTCCTGTCTTAAACATTAAGATAGTCAGTTGTTTTCTGAAGAATAAGTGTGTAAAAGATACCATAATTACATTTAACAGCCCAAGAAATTCCACTTTGAGACATGGAATAAGCAGCTGGGGCCTGATCACAAAATCTGACATAGATGTGGGCAGCTGTACCTGTGGATGATACTTAAAGGTAGGTTACTAGCAGAGTTCCAGCAGAGCTATTTAAAATCCTACAGGATGATGCTACAAAAGTGCTGCACTCATTAATGTCAGCAAATTTGGGAAACCCAGCAGTGGTCACAGGAGTGGTCAATCCTTATTCCAATTCCCAAGAATTGCTATTTCTTTGCATGCTGTTTATTTGCAATTACATCACCCTTGCCTGTAAGGTTATGTTCAAAATCCTCCCAGTTAAGCTTGATGTGAACAGCTGATTCAATGAAAAAGACCTGAAACTGGGAATGGTTGAAGGCAGACAAAGAAGAGGGTGACAGAGGATGAGATGTTCGGGTGATGTCACTGATTCAATGGACATGAACTTAGGCAACTCCGGGAGAGGTCAGGGACCCGGAAACCTGGCATGAACAGTCCATGGGGTTGCACAGTGTTAGACACGACTTGGCAACTGAACAATAACTAGCTGAACTCATTCAGGAAATTAGTGTACACAAAAAATAGTCTGGAATTTCCTACTTGGACACTTCAGTGTTTAAGATCAGACAGGATGGGAATCCAAACCAAGAAGTACATTAGCCACTTCTAATATTTCAAGTAAACTTTTGCCTGGTGTGTAATTTTTGAAATCTCCACTTGAATATGTTTTCATGTTTGAAGGGATTTTTTTTTTAGACAACATACAGGTAAGTCTTGTTTAGGTGTCTACTCTGCCCTTTTCAGGTTTTTAATTGATGTATTTAGGGCCATTTATATTTCGAGTGACTTATTAACTATTAGGGACATTCTGCCATTTGCTTATTTGTTTTGTGTGTGTTTCCTATATTTCTCACCATTTTTCTTTTCTTGTCTTCCTTGTGGATTTTTGAACATTATAAAATAATTTAACTTGGAGCTGCATTGTTTTTGAGGATATGTCTTTGCATGGTTTTCCTAATCTCTCTAGGTATTAAGATACACATAGGTAGTTTACCACTCCCTACTGTTGCTGATATTTTACCACCTCAGATGAAATGTGGAATGCTTGCTTCCATTGAGATTTATTGGTTCTCCCCACATTTTTAACATAAATGTCTCTAGTACTCTCTATATACATTGAGCACCATATCAGATGACAATTTTTCACAACTATAATAAAATCAACAGGGAAATCATACTCATTATATTCACCCTTATTTATTATTTTTTAAAATACCTCCATTCTAAAATCTCAATTCTTTTTCTATTTTGCTTTCTTTTGAAAAGTTCTTAAGTATAGTTCTGCTGGAGACAAATTCTCTCAGTTTTGCTTTTTCTGCGAAATTCTTTCTTTCTCCCTTTAATTCAAAAGGATAGTTTATAAGATATAGGATTTGGAGTTGACAGTTCTTTTCATCCAGCTTTGGAAAAAAATGTTCTCATTTCTTCCTGGCTCTATGGTCATCAATGAAATTTCCACAGATGCTTGAATCCTTTTTTCCAAATACATATTGCATAATATTTATTCACAAATAAGTATTGCATATCTATCAAGCTGCTTATGAGATTTTTTTCTGTAAGTTTCAGGAATTTGATTATGATGCACCTTTTTTAACTTTTTATTTCATATTGGAGTATAGCCGATTAACACTGTTGTGCTAACTTCAGGTAATCAGAGCAGGGACTCAGCCACACATATGCATGTGACCATTCTCCGTCAAACTCCCTTCCTATCAAATCTGCCACATTACACTCCACAAACTTCCCTGTGCTATACAGTAGGTCCTTATTGGTCATCCACTTTATTATTATTTTTATTTTTTTTTCATTTATTTTTATTAGTTGGAGGCTAATTACTCCAATATTGTAGTGGTTTTTGCCTTACATTGACATGAATCAGCCATGGATTTACATGTGTTCCCCATCCCGATCCCCCCTCCTGCCTTCCTTCCCATCCCGTCCCTCTGGGTCTTCCCAGTGCACCAGCCCTGAGCACTTGTCTCATGCATCCAACCTGGACTGATATTTTGAACTGTGGTGCTGGAGAAGACTCTTGAGAGTCCCTTAGTCTGCAAGGAGATCAAGCAGGTCAATCCTAAAAGAAATCAGTCCTGAATATTCATTGGAAGGACTGATGCTGAAGCTAAAGCTCCAGCATTTTGGCCACCTGATGAGAAGAGCTGACTTATTGGAAAAGACCCTGATGTTGGAAAAGTTTAAGGGCAGGAGGAGAAGGGACATCAGAGGATGAGATGGTTGGATGGCATGATCGACAGAATGGATGCGACTTTGAGCAAATTCCCGGAGTTAATGAAGGACAGGGAAGCCTGTCTTGCTACAATCCGTGGGGTTGCAGAGTCAGAAACAGTTGAGTGAGTGAACAACACAACAGGAACTGACCATGATGTATCTTGACATTAAGTTCTTTGGCTCCATTCCATTTGGAATTCACTGAGCAGTTTTAATATGTAGTTGTTGTTTTTGGTTAGTAGCTAAGTCATATGCCCTATTTGAGAAATTATCAGCCATTATTGAAAAAAAAATAATCTTACAGTGTGTTTCCTCTACAATATAGTTAGTTAGTTTCACTGTACATCAAAGTGAATCAACTACACATATACCTGTTCTTTTGGATATCCTTTCCATTTAGGCCATCAGAAAATGATGGCACAGGGAACTCAGTCATTATTTTTTTTATCTCTTATTCTTTATTTTCAACTTTGTGTTCAACAGTCCTTTGCTATCTTCCCACAGGTCCTTGAAGCCATGTCCATTTTCTTTTCAGTCTATTTTCTTTCTTTTTATTTTTTTTATTTTTTTATTTTTTCCATTTATTTTTATTAGTTGGAGGCTAATTACTTTACATCATTACAGCAGTTTTTGTCATACATTGAAATGAATTAGCCATGGATTTACATGTATTCCCCATCCCGGTCCCCCCTCCCATCTCCCTCTCCACCCGATCCTTCTGCCATATGCAATATATTGTTGAGCCATGTGGTTTTCTAATAATCTATTTTCTAGTTCTATCAATTGGACTTGATTTTTAAAAGCCACCATCCAATGATTTCAGTATCTGTGTCATCTTAGTGTAGTCTCCTGTTGATTGCTTTTTCTCTTTTGAGGTTTACCTGGTCTTTGGTCTGATAAATGATTTTCAACTGTTATCAGACACTTGAGCTTTTATATCTTGAGACTAAAGATGTTAGTGGACTCCTTCATTAATCAGGCCTCCATTACTGCCATGTAGGGTGCAAGTCCAATGTTCCCACCTGGCCTCCTCTGACACCAGGAGAAAGGGCAGATGTTTCTTGTTCGCTCATTATGTGGGTGGAAATGTGCACTGCTTACTTGGACCCTGTAGACCAAAGTGTGGAAAGGATTGGTCTGAGGTTTCTGCCATCATGTGTTTCTAGACTAAATCAGTGCAGTTCAGTCACTCAGTCGTGTCTGACTCTTTGCAACCCCATGGACTGCAGCACACCAGGCATCCCCAACCATCACGAACTCCCAGAGCTTAACTAAACTCATGTCCATCAAGTTGGTGATGCCATCCTACCATCTCACCCTCTGTTTTCACCTTTTCCTTCCACCTTCAGTCTTTCCCAGCATCAGGGTTTTCTCCAACGAGTCAGTTATTTTCATCCAGTGACCAAAGTATTGGAGCTTCAGCTTCATCATCAGTCCTTCCAATGAATTTTGAGGACTGATTTCCTTTAGGATTGACTGGTTTGATCTCCTTGCATGCCAAGGGACTCTCAAGAGTCTTCTCCAACAACACAATTCAAAAGCATCTATTCTTTGGCTCTCAGCTTTCTTCACCGTCCAACTCTCACATCCATACATGACCACTGGAAAAACCATAGCCTTGACTAGATGGACCTTTGTTGGCAAAGTAATGTCTCTGCTTTTTAATATGCT